ACCCAATCTTACCACTTTGCACCTATCTTGACCAATTTAGTGATTCAAACAAGTCACAATACAGTGGGTGAAACTGTCCCCACAGTCCAAAAACATGACAAACCTCATTTGCTCAAAATCACTACCTCACTTCCTCTAAAATGACCAAAAAGTGACCCTAAGACACTTGATTTTCCTTCCTATCAACACCACAACAAATTTTCCACACCAAAGCAGTTCCAACATACATAATTCATCACTCAAAATCATCCCAAACAGTTCATATCCATCAATCACCAAATTCACATAACACTCACACTTCCATACATGCATTTCAAGTTAGCAAAAATCAAAATTATGCTTCCAACAACATACCAATTTGAAAATCATCATGCATTCACGTCATACAACTAAATCGAAAAAGAAGAACTAGCTCCCCTTACCTGGAAGTTGAGTTGTACAGCTTGCTAGAATACTTTAAACAGGACCCCACACAGCGGAGAACCAAACAGGACCTACAGATCACCGCATTGGTGACAGCCAACAACTCTTAGAGCTAGAATAGGGCAAGGAATGAAAAGAAGAATACACAAGGGACATGCAAGAGCAAAATCGCATGCCCTAATTTCAAGGACAGTGGAGGAAAAGGGCAAAACCACTTACCCACTATAGAACGCGAAACCGATCGGTTCAAGTCGAAGCTCTCGACTCCGGGAATGCAGAATCACCACCTAAATGACAATGAATCCATCAAATTTCAAGATTTTGTAGAGAGAAGGCAGAGAAAGTTAGGGCTTGAATTTTTTAGAGAGAGAAGCTTAGAAAATTAGAATCTGCTGAGTTCTTTCCTAAAGTCAGATTGACTTAGAGAGATGGGCCAGCTGCCCCACATAGGGCCCAATGGCCCTTTTTATAAATTTACAGGCCCTTACAACGGGCCAACCCGGCTCACCATAAGTTTGAGTCAGGTTGGGTTTGAAAAAATTGTATTTTTTTATGTAGGTCAGATTTCAACACGTCTCATTTAAACCCGGCTCATTGAACCCGTGGTGGGCCAGGTTGGTCCACCTACCTAATTTTATTTTATTAAAATTTAATTTCAATTTTATTAAAAAAATTATTATTTTGTTCTTGCTTGAAAAAATTATTTAAGTTTCTCATTTTCAAAATTAATTAAACACCGCGAGTGAAATTTGTTTAAATTTGAATTATAAAAAATTTGTAATTTTTTTTATTTAAAAAAGATTGTAATTAAGTAGTCAACCCGTTTATCCACCAACTTGTAGTGGGTTGGACCGAGTTCAAATTTTTTTGACTCGCTAATTAAATAAACGGGTTGGGTTGACTCACTAAGTGACCAACCCGTGGTGAACCGAGCCGAGTCGAACAGGATGCCCGTTTTGATAGCTCCACTCAAACCAAAGATTGTAACTTAAAAACTAAATGAGTAAAATTTTATATTAGATAATAAAATAAATATTATTAAGGATTATTTACATATATAATATAAAAATCTTATTATAAATTAATACTTTTATTTTAAAATATTACATCATTTTTGTATACAAATATTTTAAAGAAATAAAAAAATCAAACATTTTTAATTTATATTTCGTTAACTGAAACAATAAAAATAAAGTTAAAAATCAAAATGAAAAAAATGGATATATTGAAAAAGACTAATAAAATATTTACATTTTAATATATTTTTATAATTAAAGAAATATAAAGCTCAGAGCTTCTTTCTCTTCAGAAACTTTGATTTTATAAATTCTTTCCCGTTATTTTTAATCTTGGACTTTAACTGAGAAAATAAAAGGAATAAATGAAAACTTCAATAAAAAATATTGATTGTTTAATCTTAAAAAATTGAGTGAAAATAAAATCATAATATATTTTATTTAAAAAGTAAATAAATTGTTAATGAAAATGCCATTTTATTCTCACAACTTACTTTTATTCTTTTTTTTACTGAGATTCATACTTCATTTATCGCATGAAAAGAACATAATAAATTAAGAGGTAATAGATAATAGATAATGCACCGTCCTATAATTTTATCGTAATATATGCTAAGATAATCAATATGATCATAATTAAGAAGTAGTGGATAATAGATAATGCATCACACTATAAATATATCATTATATATTATAATATAATATATTGGAAGACAGTTGTTTTTCTTTCAATGTGATATATTTTACTTTAAAACTAAAATAATATCACTGAATTTAAGTCCCACTTTCTTTAATTTTATCACTTATTTTACTATATTTTAGAAAAACATATATTAAAAATAGACATTAAAAGATAAGAAAGAACATTTTCTTATGATATTATATACTTGAAAGAGATATATTTATATTACATAATATCGCCATAAAATATAAAGAGATTAATAAATAGATAAATAATCAAAATAGATAAAGATAAACACATGTATAAAAAGAGGGAGAACTTAATTGAATTTATATTTCAAAAGTGAATGGGTTTCTTAATTAGTATCTTCAGTTATTTTTCTGTTTATTTTCAATATTTGTATTCTCATATCATGATTCTTATTTTGGGGTTGGTGGTGCCTATTTTGTTGGCATCATTTGTGTCTTACTATGTTTTAGTCTCCATGTTGTGTGATGTAAATGCATCTCGAACACAGGTGATGCTGAGTTGCATATTAGGATTTCTTATTTGGTGTTATAAATTATTATCGTTCTTTTGTTGTTGTAGAGAAATGTTTATATTAGATGACGATGATGATGATGAAGTTGGAGACACTGAGACTCATGAAATAAGAATGGAGCTTTCAGAAATCAAAGTCTCTGTTATGAACAAAGCCATGATAATCTTGCCTCCTGGTAAATGTTTTCGTGAGGACCAAAGAAAGGAATCTCAGTCTGATTGTTGTATTTGCTTGGAAGAGTTTAAGAATGGAGACTTCATTCAACCATTTGGAGTATGTGTTCATGAATTTCATTCCGTGTGCGTTAACTCTTGGATAGACAGTGGAAACATTTCATGTCCACTTTGTCGTCAGAAGTTGTCAATTCTTGTTTAGTAAGATCATCATATTCTCATGTTTTGATTGCTTTTTAATTCTTCAAAATGTGAAATCACATAAAAATTTCTAATGTATACCTAGGATATAAGACTTGTTTGTATCAAATTTTTACAATAGAAATCTAATAACATGTTAATTTTTTTTTTCATCATGGCTTTATATAAGAGAATAAATTTTGTGTATTGAATTAGTGCACAAAGATAGAGTTTGACTTTTAAATTTTCATAAATAATTAAAATGACGAAAAATATTGTAAAATTTACAAAATAAAATTTAATTACTTTAAAGTGATGGAAATATACAGTTTTAAAAGTTATTTTGACCAGAAGGTAAGAAATTATTGAAGGAGATGATATTATCAAAGAGGAAAAAAAAGGCAAAATATAGTATAAAAATCAATTTAAGAATTTCATACAACTTATTGAAAATTTAATATTTTTAACTAAACAATATATTTTTTTAAATCATAATATATAAAGTACGTTTTACTTTTTTAAGTTTCTATGTCATATAATATATATATATATATATATATATATATATATATATATATATATATATATATATATATATATAATCTAATGTCTTATTTAAAGTCCACATCTTAAATTTATTACGTTAGTATTTTTCAATAAAAAAAATTGTTTAAAATTCAATTTATATGATTTCGATAACTAAGACAAAGTAATGAATCTCTAATATAATTAATATAAATTATTTACCTTACATTCGTTGGTAATTTTTTTTTCATCTCTTAAACTCAAAAAAACATTTTGTGATTTTATGTGATGTATGCTGTGTTACTCAAATCATCACCTTAATTTTATTTGAACTTCATACGAAAACAAATAACAGTCTTCAAGTATTTCTACTCATAACTGATAACAACCATTATCAAAACAACTAAATAAACTGGAAAAAAGAAGATGAAAGTATGTTTTTGGAGTGCACATTACTCCACATTATACAATAACGTAATAAATACATATTTTCAAAAAACTACATGAATTTAAAATTGATATAACATTAAATTAAAATAGCATAAGCAAATGCGAACTCACAAAAGTGCCATTTGGTATTTTTATTAATCTATAATAATTTATAACGCGAAAACACATAATAACTTTTTTCATTTTACCTGAAAACATATTTTATATAATCTTATTTTCGCGAGCAATATTTCAAAAAGAAAAAAGGTCGGATAAATTTCTCCTCCACCTCCATCGGTTACATAGAATGTAGATTTTAACATAATTTTACTTGCATTTTTTTTATATTTAATCTATTTTTAAATTGTTTTTAAATCACTGCTTAAATATATTAATTTAATCATCTACAATTTCTTGTAAATTTTCCTTTAATTTTTGTTACATTTTCCCCTTAATCTAATTTATCTCAGTTTCCATTATCTTTCTCTTCATTTTGTTCTCTTTCCATTCCCTCGTGCCACATAAAGATGCTTGCACAAAGTCAACTTATCTTGATCACAAAACATTAATAATTTGATGTCTATTAAATATGACACAAGATTAAAAAAACATAAAAACAAAGTATAAAATAATTTACTCATGATTTTCAGAAACAATTTGTAACAGTTAGCAGTCATCAGCACAAACATGCTCACCAGATAAAGTACTTCTCAAACCCTACCCAAAATTAGTTTTGTGCTAACGCAGTAATGGATTTTTCAAACTCTCACTCAGTAATATGAACATGTTACAACGATATTAACCCCGTGACCACTTGCAAATTTTAGCATATCGATATCGAAAATTGAATTTGAACTGTTACACTTCAATCTGAGTGACAAATTATACAAGTAAAAGCACACAAACGAAAAGTATTACGTAAATTGTTTAAATATATATACCAAATAGCTACAAAAATGCGTGAAAAAATCTGCATATTTTTGTCGATCATCCAGGAGTTATGTATCTTAATACCTAATTTAGGAGAGTGGTTAGACCAAGTGTTGGAGGAAACCTCAAATTTCCAAACAAAACAAATGTTACACCTCGTCCAAGATCAAGCAAGCACCCCAAATTTATCGGAGCTCTAACAAGATGTAACAAACATTAAGTATTTTGTTTTCCAAGTATTATCACTAATCTTCTTGATTGCCATGTAATATCTCCGGTTGTTTGAGTCAGATGTGCAGTTCTCGCTTGTGCCAATTGCCTTGTCAAGCTGTGTGATCAATATCAGTAATGCTTTCATTATAACATCCAGAAAGTCAAGCATCATCCATAAAATTAGTTCTTTAGGAGAAAATTGTTTTCATTCTCGCGCACATAAAACATAAAGCAAATATTACTCCAATGTAACCTTTGCCCAGTTTTGTTATTGAATTAGCGCTTAAGCTTCGCACAATAAAAAGTACTTACGACAACATTTTCCAAATCTTCGAAAAACAACTCAAATTGGTGTTAAAGTTTATGAAATACTTCTCTTTTGCAACTTCACAAGATATTAACCTTAGCCAAAAACCATAAAAAAAAACACATTTTCAAAATTTATTTTTGCAAAACAATTTAAATTGGTATTAAAATTTTATGAAATGCTTCCCTTTTGCAACTTCACAAGATATTAACCTTCGCCAAAGAAGAAAAATATATGAAAGTGGGTCTTTCACCAAGAAGGCTGTACGTAAAAATAATAATTTGAAAATCCCAGGCGAAATCCAGAAGCCCAACTTGGAAATAAAAGCTTCCGTAAGTGAAAAAGAAGGAAGGTGTCCGAACTTAACTTTCCAAGGCAATCTATAGCAAAAAGAAAATATCATACCCATGGATAACTGCAAAGATGATAACACCATCGCACCCATCTGATCTTCTCTGACATTCACTCCAACCCCCGGTACACTTGAATACAGTGAGAGCCAACCCACCCACCAAGTGTGGCCATTTCTTGCCAAAGAAGTGAATGGAAGGTTCCAAGCTCCATTAGTGGATGCAGATGACACAAGTTAGAAACAGATTCAAGCATTCGTTTGTGGCAAGGACCTATATGTCAGCAAGCCAACCCTCAAGCAAATAGTGTATGGTATGACAAGCCTAGATCAGTTGTCAAACAAAATTAAACAAAAAATCTCCACTAGTAATAATAATAAAGTAGATGTAGAAAACAAACTACTGTACACCCCAAAAGCTGAGGGCTTATTTCCACAAGAAACGGGGTAAAAAGATGACGGAAGGACGAAGGACAACAGTTCACTTAAACTGTTCAATCCTTCATTGAGGAAGGGGGAAAGAACAATGGTTTTCACAATCAAGATCTTTGAATATTGAAAATTGCATGTAGGGGACAAGTCGTGGGGGAAGGATGTTCAAAAGATAATCCATGAAAAAATCAACACCTTGTTTAATGTTATTCTCATCATATTCTGTTCACTTTCAAGCCCTTGAAAATCCAATGAAAAAAATAGTTTGGGGAAAGAATCCAGAAGAAACAAATGATATTCAAAATGATACACAAGAATTAATAAGCAACTCAATCATAACAATATAAACATTAAAAATGACAACGGAAGTAGCATCAAATCCCATGGTATATTTCCCTTTTAAGGATAGGAACTTTATACTTCTTAAAAAGAATGCAGAGGGTCCACAAATGAAGGCTGAATGCCACAAGACAAAATTAAAACAAGTTAGTTGTACTCGTGCCAGTTATGCTTCACAAAGGTGAATAAAAAAGGTCCATAACACACTCGAAAATTATTATAACAGTTTTCTCTGCCCCAAAATTCACCGTTCCTCAATACTCCAATAAAGGAATCTGAGGTATAATAAGATTTGAAAAACATGTCAGGGGGAAACCTACTAAGATAAGAAGTAAAAAAAATACAGGTTTCAGAATCTGATTCTTTAGTAATCAAATAGTAACTAAAATTACAAATTAAAAGATGCATTTGAATAGTGCCTGGTACTTCAGAAGAATCAGCGGAGTCCAAAACTAAATGATTGATGCATCTTATGAGGGTATCTGCACATTGAATACAATGAGTAAAAAAACTAAATCCAAACTCAATATCTCTACAGGAAACTGAACAAAATTGAAATAATAAAAAGCCATACCTCTTGTACTGCAAAATTGGTTTTTCAAGAGTTATATTTTATTAAAATTCAAAATAGTTGCTACCAAAGTCATTATTTTTACAATAAAAAACAAAATGGGCAGAGCAGACAATAGAAGAGTTATATGCAAACCCCGATAAAGTTCACTCAAAGAAGATGAATAGATCAAGAAATTTATATATATATATATATATATATATATATATATATATATGGAGCTCAGAATAAATAAACAGTTATGAATTAGAATTTTCATGTTCATTTTGCATTACAACATAAAACATAATTATTCAATGGCAATTAATTCAGAATAGTTCAACACGGGCAAGTATGCAGTCCCAATATATAAAACAGCAAAGGATGAGCATTCATCATGTTGAAGCGTTACGATATTTGAAACAATAAAAAACACATGTCAAAAGTAGTTCGTCAACCTAGATATTGACAGGAGCATAACTGCAAAACAAAATATATAGAAAGCATAAATTATTCACGTGCAATGCATCCAAATACAATTGGCATAACACGTGATCTCACTTATGTGAGAAGGAAGCCTGATTGAATCAGGCTAATTTCAAGTCATCCTGAATATGAGTTAACTAATCTCATTACCGCCAAATCTTTCATTTCCTAATTTCTAACAAGGAGCCTTCAAATTTAACAACAGGCATGCTATCCTATAAACCATGTCATCCACTAGGCAGCAAAAGCATTATCAAGAAGCAAAAGGATGCACTCACCTAATGACCCATGTAAGGAGCGCCCGCACCAGGGTGGGGTCTGACAGCACTGCTCTGACCCATTTGAGGATTCTGGTATCCCTGTTGCATTGCTGGCTGGTTCCCATATCCCATAGCAGGCTGATTCCCATACGGGGCAGGTGGCCCCGCCTGGTTAACGGGGGCACCACCAAGTCCTCCAAGCAGATTTCCAAGACCTAATCCAGCTCCCTGGTTAGTGAGCAAAGCCGTTAGCGCCTGTCCAAGAGCAGGATTCAACCCTTGAGCCGGCACGCCCGGGTTGAAACCCCCCACAGCAGACGCCGAGGGGGCCATCAAATGACCACTGCCATGGGACGGACCACCTCCCCCAGAGGAATACTTGTTCTTCTCCTTTCTCTGATAATGAGGCTGATGATGGTGATGGTGATGATGATGGGAATGCTGCTGATGGTGATACTGATGATACCCTTTGTTCCCCTTGGGACCATCGACAGCCTTCTGACAATACAAAGTATGGCCTTCAAAGTTCTTATGAGGTTCTTCCAAAGCCTTTTTAGCACTTTCCACAGACCTATAAACAAACAGAGCGAAACCCTTAGGTTTCCCGGTGTTCTTGTCCAGCCCAAGAGGACCATCCTCAACCTCCCCAAATTGCTTGAAGAAATCAAGCAGTTTTGGGGGATCAATCTCAGCACTCACGTTGCTCACAAATATCTTCCGCTGCGTATACTCAGAAACCGGATTGGCGTTCGGCGGGGGCGCCGGAACAGGGCCAGCAGAGGCCAGCTGACAAGAAGTGGTACGGTTTCCAATTTTCTTCTGGGGATTTTTCAGCGCCTTGCGAGCATCATCCCTGTGCTTGAAAAGGATGAAAGCGTAACCCTTCGATTTGCCAGAGACTTTGTCGGTGACGGCCTTGCAGTCCTCGATCTCGCCGTATTTCCCAAACACGGAAGTTAGGGTTTCGGCAGTGGCGTCCCAGCCGAGGCCGTGGACGAAGATCTTCCGGTGTGCGGGGTCCACATCGGCGAGCTGGCGTACGCTCTCGACAAATTCAGGGAACCTCTCCACGGCCTGCTTCACAAGAGCATGCAGCTGCTCCTTCGTGAATGGTTCGAGAAGTTTCTCCACGGGCTCGTCTTCAAGACTGAGATCCTCATCTTCCTCTTCGTTGTTCTCTTCTTCTCCAGCACCGTTTGCTTCGGCGTGGTTCGCAGCTTCTAGAGCTTCCGGCTCCTGTTGCTCTTCTAGGGTTTCTGGCTCCTGCTCCTGTTGCTCCTCTAATTCCTCTTCCTCTTCTTGACCTTCGGCGATTTGCTGTTCTTGCTGCTGTTCCTCTGTTGGTTCGTCGACGGCCATGGTGTTGGGCTCTTCTAAGGTTGGTTCGGGATTGGGTTGCTCTTGCTGGTCGAGTTGTTCCTCTGGTTCTTGGTCTTGTTGCTGTGGCTCGATGGGTTTGGCGGGTTCAGGGTCTGAGGATCGAAGCTTTCGTTTCTTGGCCATGGCGGTGGAAGAGGTAGGGTTAGGGTTTGGGCAATTGGGATTTGGAGCGTATTTTATTTTTGTTGTTTTGTCTGAAGAAAGAATTCTGAGGAGCGATTGCGCCCTCAGTTGGATGTAGAGTAATCTCTTTCACTCCACAGCCCGAATATATTTAAATATCACTTCATGGGCCGGGCCGGGCCGGATCTATTCTCGTCCCAATTCATGTTCTCGGTATATGCTGCAATAGATATGTCACTGTCAGTTTGTTTATATTATTTATATAAATATAAATATATAAAAACATGTCAATTAAAATTACAATTTAAGGTTTCCTGTTTGTCTTCTCTGCTAATTAGAAAATAAAATTTAAATAATTTGAAAACAGAATACAATTATTCACTTTTTTTATAATTATAATCCAAATATTTCCACTCACTGGATAGTATTATTAAGAATGTAGTAGGGTATTTTTAGATCATATTTAAGGGAAACTAAAAATTGAAACAATTAAATTTTATCAATTTAGATGGATTCAACTTCATCAATTCTCTCCACACAATCTAAGCTAAATCAATTAACTCAAAATTTAATGTTTTGCGAAAATGTACAGTTAAAAAAATGAAAACATGCTTGATCATTTACTACAAAATGAAAACAGTATATTTTTATTGTGACAAAGTTACATTACGTCAACTTAAATATTGGTTAATTTAGTTTGGATCTATTGCAGTAATTAGATTTTAAATTGAATCTAATTGGACTAAAAATTCAAATCAATTTAATTAGTTTGATTGGGTAAATCTAAAGAACGAACACTTTTCTTCAAATAACGAAACATGGTAATATTTTTTATAACATTAAGTTAATTCACTAATTTTATTAATGCGATAAGATGAGTTTTCTATTTATTTGATTTAATTTCTTTCTTTCTTATGTTACACTGCTTATTTAAACTATCATATAATGCTTGTTTTATTAATTCATATTTAGTATTTGTATTTAGATTATTTTGAAGCTTAATTGTTTTTTTTTCCACATTCGAAGGATTTTTTCTCGTTAGTACTCACTTTTAAAAATGCTTTTATTTGGTCTCAAGGTATAAATTGTATCGTTGAAGTCACTTTCGTTAAATTATTGACGTAAATGGAGTTAACTCTGTGGTAACGTGACTATGAAATCTGATTTTTTATCCTCTCTCGTTTGCTCTTCTGCAATGCTCAACTTTTTTTTCTCTCTTTTGATTCTCTTCAATTTTCTCACTCTTTCTTTTTCTTAATCTTCTTTTTCAGTTCAAAACATGGATTTGACATTTTTCAAAAGAAGGTTTTCAAAAGGTGATTATTTCAAGATTTCAAACTTACTTTGAGACATTCACTCCATCAAGCAAGGAGAAAGAAGTGTAAGTCAATTATTTATCGATTTGAAGATCCTATAAGAAGAATTTGAATCTCTTACACCCATGTCATGTTGTACCTGTGATGTCACTTGCAGTTGTAACTTGTCTAAAATTTCTCACAAATACAGAGAAGTGGAACATGTTATTTGTTTCTTAAAAGGCATAAATGATAATTATAATAATGTTAGACCCCAATTCCTATTAATGGAGCCTCTTCCCAATATCAACCATGTCGTCTCCCTCATCACGCAACAAGTAAGGCAAGAAAAGCAAGATTCTGACTTCACCAAACAGAATATTGAAACTAAAGTTCTGGCCAACACAACTGACAAACAAAATCACTAGAAAACAGAACAAAACTGAAAGCCTCATGGGCGTGGTTCTGGATCTTGCGGTCAAGGAAGAGGGAGAGGAAGAAATCCCAACTATGGGAAACAATGCCCCTACTATCACAAGATGAACCACACCATGGATGAATGTTACTCTAAGCATGGTTACTCACCATGGTATAAGAGGAATGACAACAACAATCAAGAAAGAGGGGGATAAAGTGACTGAAACTTTGTCAATGCTTGCTTTGCCTTTGCAAAGACACATCCCACCTAGCAAGCAAACAAACACTAACACTGCCCTCAATTTTTTCACTCCATGACAAATGCAGAAATTGTTGCGGATAGTAGAAAAAGTTGATAAATTTTCACATAACATCAATCAAATACAACAAGACACAACAAAAGACAAACAATGTATGTTTTCTTATAGACACATGGGTCACTAATCATGTGATCCATGAGAAAGAACACTTTGTCACCTTCGATAAGATCAAACCTATATCTATTAAATTACCAAATAATTCCATTGTCACTGACCAACATGCAAGAACCGTTCAACTTTCGAAAGATTTCATTATCTTTAATGTTTTCTACATTCTTGATTTTTCTTTCAACTTAATATTTGTCCAAAGTTTAACAAGGGACATATGCACCCTAACTTTTTTTTTCTAAGATGTGCCAAATACAAGACAACTTTATATTGAGGATGATTGAATGTGCTAATTAGGAATGGATAAAAAATCTGTACCCGCAGGTATCTACGGTAAAATCCGCTTCGGATATTTAGTACCTGCGGGTAGCAGGTAGCATTTATTTTAATACCCGCTTGTTAACGGGTCGGGTTCGGGTATCACACTATCCATACCCGCGGGTACCCGTTTTTCTTACTTATTCTCTCTCTGCCGTCAAAGAAAAAACAAACCCTAAATTTCATAATTTTTCTCATTCACTCTCTCTGCTGTCACAAAACTAGGGTTTTCTCATTCACATCTCATACACACACACACACTTACAAATTTAAACTTTGAAAAAAAAGAAGAGAAGATAAAAGAGACATCTGATCTGCACACCCTAACACTTTGACGCAGAGATCCGAAATGAACCGTCAATAGCAAAACGCCTTCTCCAATTCCCAAAAAACCACCCTCGCCATCATCTTCTCGCTCCTTAAAGAAGAAAACTCCCGAGACTCCTCCCAACCTGGTTCTCTCCGATGCCTCTCTCAACATCGAGGACTAGCCGAAGAACTACTTCACTGCCTTGGCAATCTGGAAGAGGTGGTGAATCGGGAGATGCAAGTCGCTCTTGTAAGAATCAAAGTCGAGGTTAGGGTTTTGCCTGTTGAGATAATCAAATGATTTGCAGATGTAGTGGTCCCAAGCGTTGTCGGGGAGGGAGGAGAGGAAGGGGTTTTGGGGGATGGAATTTGGGGGAATGGGTTTCTGTGATGAAAAAAAAAAGTGCAATCAGTAAGCAGCAACCAATCCTCAAACAATTAAATCGTTGTTTTCTTGGAACGAAAGAATGGGGGAGCGGGAAGGGTGTTTGGTGGGAATGAAAAGACTGAGAGATAAAAAACAAAAAGAGGAAAAAGAAAAAGGGAATTTATTATTTTTTCAAAAACCCTAGATATTTTAATTGGTGCTTTTGGGATTTTATCTAGGTTATCTGATTTTTTTTGTGGGGGAAACTGTGGCTGATTGATCTCAAAGAGAAAGAAAGAGAGAGAGAGAAGTTGTAAATCATAAAAAAATTAAATATTTTGGGGTTGAAAACGGGTATCCAACGGGTATCCGCGAGTTGAAAAAAATCCGCGAATTTTGTGTTATGCGGGTATTCATCGGGTAGCGGGGGCGGGTAACATGTACGTTTTTTGCACGCAGGTCGGGTTCGGGTATCATACTATCTGTGCCTAACCCGGCCTGTTGTCATCCCTAGTGCTAATGTTTACAAGGACTTCTATTACTTGCAATCTTTTCGTGTTTTTTAACAATATTTTATACCTAAGTTTGTTTTCTCCTATGAGTGCGTGTAAATGTAAATTTGTGGCATTATATATTAGGTTATATGAACACAAAATTATAGAAAAAACATGCACTTTAAATTTTATTAAGTGACATGGAAAGACTGGTTTTGTTTTAGGAACAAATTCTATAAAGTTTTCTTTAGCTAATTGTTTTATACAACTGGCTTAGAGTAACACTACACGCAAGTCACATGTCTGTAATAGGAATACGATTATATAACATAAAAATATGATCAAATTAAGATCTTAAAAATTAAAAAAGACATTGGATCATAATAATAATAAAATATATTTTTATTAGAAATATATATATATATATATATATATATATATATATATATATTTATTGTCAATCACTAAATAAAATATTGATGAAAGTGTAAAGAAGTGTGCCATTTAACAACCTATTAAAAATTAAATTAAAATATCAAAACGATTTTTGTTTTTCTCTCATATAAAACATTGTGATTCTCACTACAACTATTTTTATCAGAATTATTTTTTTAACTATGCTTTTAAATATTATGTTTAATCTCTAATATAAATTATATATTATTTTGATAATACTTTATGTGTAAGAACAAAGAAAATAAAGTATTAGAGTTTATAGTTATTTTAAAACAATGAGACCAAGTATTTTAAAGTTAAAATAATATTATAAAATAAATAAAATTTCTTAAACTTGTCTCATTACTTAAAACACAAGTCATTTCTCTAAAACTCTTCTTCCTAGTTCTCTCATAGTTTTCTCTAAGATATATGACTCTTCGATAATTTGTTCGACGATCATAAAGTTCTTAGGAGATAACGACTGAGTAATCTTCATTTATACCCTATCAGTTTATGGTATAAAAAAAGTAAGTTTCGACTCCTTTTTTTCTTTCGTTCTTAGTTTGAGATTATGCTTAATGATCTCTTGACACATGTGTGTTTCTTGATCTCCGTTCCTAGTTCTTTGTTGGTCATAGGTTCTAAGGACTCTCTTTGATCACCATTTTTGTGTCCTATAGGTGTTTCTATAGTTCCTTGAAATCTAAACAAGGGTTTCAACATGAATAGAGCTTAGTAGCTTTGATGTAAGGTAAGGGAAGCTAGTGTTATATTTTGATAATTTAGTGTTTGAGTATGAAAGGATGTCTGGTAGTTTATGAAATTGATGCATATTGTTGAATTTTGTTAAAATGGTTGTTATTAGTTTTGAAGTGTTTTGGAATGATGATTTTTGATTGAATGATGTTGGTATGCATTGCTAGTTTAGTTTGGAACTCATTTTGGTTTTGAATGTTGTTGTTGAGATGTTGAATGATGTCAAATTTTTATAGTATTAAGGAGAAGTGGTTGGGTTAATTTATAAGTCATTTCTAGGCATAAAAGGAAGTGTTGATAGGTGAAAA